TGAGTTGCTCAACTTAGCTTATACCAAGACGAGCTGGAATTTATTTTACGAATCGCAATAAACATCCAAAGCTGTACAGACTTTTAACTCAGAAGTAAGTCCACAGATCTAAATGTTTTTTTTCTGAGCTCCAATTGTCATGTTTGAGAATAAAATGATTTATAGAAGCCAGGAGAAATAATACCAAATAATTACAGCAATTATAATCGCTCGAATCAAATCATAATCTAAATTAATTCATGTGTCCTTCCAAAGACAATGGCAGCATGAAAACAGAAATGGGATTACTACCAATCTGTAACGCTTGATTATTAAAAATAAATAGCCTACAGTGTTGAAAACACCATAGGATTGCTTTGGAGGTTTGCAAATCATGAAAGCACATCCTATTTATCTTGTATTTTAGGGATGGTCGAGGACCTTAAAAGCTAATTATGTGGGAACTCTTTACAAAAACATAATCCAGTAGAACAGGAGACACTGTGTGAAGTCAATGTCCTCTGATCATTAAGCAGCAGAGGGCTAAATGAATTAGTTTGGGTGTGTGTGCATTCTTTGAGGGGAGGGGTTGGAGCATTTAATAGACCCAGCCTCACTATGAACCCAGAGAAAATGTTTTGTCATTTGACCTTCATTAACATCTTCTATTCATTGCTCCAATTCTGGAGATAAATCAGGAAATGGCTCCTATTGTATCTTCCAGTGGCGTGCAGTAAAGCATATCCCGGTACCTGACTTTCATTAGCCTTTGTCTCTTTAAACAATAAGCAGAGCCTTGATCGAACACAGGTTTTAGAAGGTATTTGTCTTTGGAGGACCCAACTAACAGAAATGAAGAGGCGATCTAGCAAAGACTCAGAGACAAAAACAAACCTTGATGTTGTAAGGTGAGGTGTGTGGAAAAGAGCAACACCTCTAACAAAGATAGTGGAAAGAGAAGACGAGGGGAAAAATATAAAGTCTCTTTGGGAGCCGAAGACTTTCCAGAGGGGGTCGTCTTCCCACCATTGAAGCATTGCTGGATTAACCCAATCAGAGGATTAATCAGACTTGAAACATTGGTGGCACCTTTATCTGCCGGTGCATGGCAGCAGAATTAGGATCCAGAGTACAGAGACGGCGTTCCCACAACCTCTCTGCTTGCCAAAAAACCCTCAGAGACAGAGGGGAATTAGAAGCTCCCAGCTTACCCCATCTGACTTTTTGAAACTGGGTCCCTCTTGCAACCGTCTCATTATCATTAAGAGCTAGAGTCCTGCATGTCTGCTCTACTGGAGGCGTATCAGGCAAGACAAGGGACATGTATGTTGGGTTGGTATAATCGACTTCATCTTGAAAAGATTGTAGCATCTTAAAAACGTATCCGAGGAGCAGGATCCACCCAGCAGATCCCTTTCAACAATGCCTTGCATGCATGCTAAATCTCAAAGGTCAGCACTCAGCTGTGATTTTAGCATCTTCAACACAACAGGCATCAGATTATCAGCCACTATTAAGTACAATCCTCCATCCTTGCAGGGATTTAAAGACGTGGTGAGCCGATTGCCCTCGAAACCAGCAGAAATTAGCTCTCGCTGTGCCATGTTTGCCTAACCCTTTAATAAAGGATCAAATCTGTGAGAAGGCCAGACGCTTTATTTTTTAAGCCCGTGACCACATGTTCATGAGCAGCCCTTGAAAATTTGGCTGACAGAAAAAAGGTATTTGCAGTCGATCTACATTGAATAAATAAATAAAACGTAATACTTATCCGTCTCCATCTGTCTGCCTTAAATTTTGCTGCAACTAATCCCAACACCTAGGCTCAGCAAAGAGAAAAAACAGGACTGTCGCCCATGAGGAAAAAGCAAGAGAAGCCTGCAGTGTAAACAGGGAGGCCAGCATTGATCCCAGCTCTCTGGTAGCCAGGTCATCGATTGCAGGATGCAGCTGTGATACTTGGCACACCTTGCTGACTCCAACCACAACTTTGAATCTACTGCTAACAGCAAGCATTTTTCACCTTCCTTTTGTCAGCTGACCAAGTGATTCAGAGAAGAGGGAAGGGGGAGGGATCCTACACCATCCTCTTATAATTGTGTGGGAACATCATTTTTCAATCGCAGCTTTGCTTCCCCATCCCCAGGAGACACTTTTCTCAAACAGTAATCATTATGTTATGGAAGCGGCTGCCGGGCACAGTTGTACATGCAACAGGAGCCAATGAGCAGAGGCTTACAGTCCTTGGGGCTTCACAGGCGCACATATGGGAGCGCCATTGTGGGATTGTGAAAAAGAATGAAAAAAGTGGAAGTGAGCGAAAGCACAGACCCATATTTGATCTTTTATTCTCCCTGGAGATTTATCGATCCTGGAATCTTGTCAAGGCTTATTTTGCAGGGTTAAGTAAAACACAAACATCAAAGATCAACTTGTTTTTCTCCACAGCCCTCCTTCACAAGTGCCCTTCCTACACACACTGTTCTATTTAAAGATGTGTATCTCCCAACATTCAATATGAATACACTTAAAAGAGCATGTGAGAGGAGAGCTGAGCGAAAAAGCACTTTAAACAAGTAACGTCAGGATGCACCTAATAGCCGTCTGATCAGCAAGTGTTTCATCTTCGCCACATTATCTCCAAATTCAATAATGGTTCTTCAAACACTCTGTTGTGTCTAAACTCTCTTGCAATTGATGCATCCGGGCTCCACTTAGTTGGTATTCCACTCCTGTTGCTGGTGTCCCCTCTGTGTCTCCCTAATACTTGCCAAAAGGAAGCCATAATATATTTAGAACTGATGCACGGACATTGATGTCTGGTGGGAAAATTAGAGGCTTCTCTGTCAATGTACAGCCAGTCTTGTTATTGACTCTGACATATTCTGGGATGCTAGTGATAACAACTTGACAAATGGGCCCCACTCTTCCTCCTCCAAATAACACTTTATCTCTTTATGTCCCCCCCATCACCCACCTCTTTCAGATTATTTTCTGTGATAGGATATTACATTCTGGCTGAGTACAACCAGGAAGTGCTGGTAAGGATAGAATGGCATTGTGGGTATGGTATGAAGATCCTGTGCTATGGTAAGGAGAATAGAGATCCAAAATGTCCACAACAAATGCGAGGTAGACGTCATTCCTGTCACTTTGAATTAAGCTTTCATTGCTTAGAAATTAAGACTCAGTGAACACACATTTAGAGTCTGAAGGGGATAGAATTACAAGTGAACATATAGTCGAATAAGAGTGGAATCATTTACTCACTAATATTTGGGAATATGTCAGTGAATACCAAGATAATAACCTGGTCAAAGATGGAACAGGAAGAACGCAAACGCCAATGGATGTTTACAATACACAGTTTTCCTAACAACATAAATGTCAAGCATTATTTGCATTTGCAGTAAGTTAGCTAAGATAACATTGTTAAACCTTTTTCAAACCTATGTTAAGAGGACTCTATAGAGTGGTGCAGGGATGACGTATTTACCCGGAAATAATCTGCGCATGGGTTCCCTCGACAAAAAAGCAATGGGATTTCTCCATAGGATTTTGGAAAATAGCTCGAAATAAGGTCTGTGGAAAGCGAACCCGTTTTATAAATGCACTTTTTGTTCAGCCGGATAATATCCACATGTCTACCCTACTTTTATAATTTTCTAATCATAAATCTAATCGCCAGAAGCAAAATGCTAACGTTATGCTATAAACGAACTACAGCAGGGTCGCTGCTTCAACATCACCCAACTTAAGATCCATATTCAAAAATACAGATTAAAAATGGTACAAGTTGAAACTTTTGTTTTAACAGTTTGCAAGAGGCAGGTACTTGCTTTCAAGCAGATCAGTGCAAACTAACTTAGCGGGAGTGTTTACGTGTTCGGTGTAATGACGTACAACGGCCTCGACAACTTCTGTAGTCCTATTCAGCCACATGTTAACAACCATTGTTTTTCAGACACGTAAACTCTTCAAAAATCATCAGGGGTCACTGCTGATGTATTTAATGTCGTAGAACAAAACGTGATCCGTCTCTTCAATTTGTGTCAAACACAGATCTTATTTCCAGCTATTTTCCAAAATCCTATGGAGAAATCCCATTGACTCTGAGACGAGGGAACCGGTAGTGATGAAATGCTCACTCACTTCCGGGTCTTAGGACTCGTCACTGCACCACTCTATTGGGTTGATGTCACATCTAGTCAATGTTTCTGATTGACTTCTATATAATTGAAAAATTCATTTTAAAGAGCGTCAAATGAGATGACATTAATTCAAACCTCATAAGTATTTTGCTGTCAAACTCTGTATATATTTAAAGCACTTTTTGCCATACTTTCTATAATCACGGTGCTTGCCAATCCCCATTTTGAAGTTGGATGTAATTTGTCCCAGGTTGTTGACATGGAGTCTGGTTTTAGTTCTGAACTGAGCTCTTGGCAGATGTCTGGACTCAAACTCGATGACATGAACGAGATGATTCCCACTTCTGGATCCTCTATTTGGGACTGTTGTGTAGACAGTGATGTGGCACACAGATGCCTTTGTTTGCCAATGCTGAAGTGCACACTCTCCAGAAAACACTCCTTTTTGTCCACACTCAACTGAGAGTTTTCCTCTTGTCAGTATTAGGGCTACAACTCACTGTTATTTTCATTGATGAGATTCTGGCAATTGCTTTCTTGATTTAATAGTCGTATATGCATCAGAAACTACTGAAAAAAGAAAATTGTTAAAGTCCTATTGGTCGAGAAATATCTTACAGTTGCAGCAATCTACTCTTCTTATTCTTCTAATTTCAGTTTTTTACTCATTTGTTTTACATCAGGTTACAAATAGGCCTGAAATATACACAGGGTACACATGAACAAACAGAGCTACGGGTCGCCCAATGGTTCTGTACCTGGTACCAGGAAGTGAACCGGCACCTCTCCACCTACCAAAATAACTCTGTACTTGATCCAATCGGGGCTTGAACCGGCGACCCTTCAGTTCCCAAACAATAACATGTACCTTCTGTCCACACAGGTAACTCCACATCTGTGAAGGCGGCCTGCTACATCCTGATTGGCGTTGGGGCCTTCTCCATGCTCATGGGCTTCCTCGGCTGCCTGGGGGCCATTTACGAGATCCGCTGTCTGCTCGGCCTGGTGAGTGACACTACACATGTCTGAATGTATGTACACTCTGATCATTTAAACATGATGATGAGTAAGACAGGCGATGTGCTAGTGGAAGATTTATTGTGTAAGTAGTTGGACTAACTTCTCCTAAAGGACCAAAAACAGCTCTCTGCCTAACTTAATGAGTTTTCAAGTATTCCAGCGGGCTTTCAAAATAAAAGCCCCAGAAAGAATCTTAATCCTAACAGGAAGCTCAAGATTAGTTTTTATTCCAAATAAAAGCCCGAACAAGTATCTTAAGCCTAACGGGAGGCTCATAGAGTACATACAGTAACTCTTTACCATATATACAGCAAAGAATACAACTATTACAGAATGTAGTTACTGACTTGTCAGGCTTCAATATGCATGCACACACATACCACTTTGAAGTTGGTTCATTTATAGTTGCTTTGTTGCCATTAAGATCTCTTTTTTTAAAGGTTTTACGGGGCTCCTGCTGCACCAACATGTTTTACCACTCCGATGTTTCACATGAGTTTACCATCTGCTGTCTCTCCGCAGTACTTCACCTGCCTCCTGCTGATCGTCATCGCTCAGGTAGTAGCCGGCGCCCTCATCTACTTCCAGAAGGAGACGGTGAGTGATGTCACTTCCTCTTCCTCTGTCCTAGATTTCATTGAGTGGTGCAGTAATGATGTATTTTTGAAGGCCAACCCTGAAGTTAGCGTCCCAAGTCCTTGCACGCGAAAATAGCAATTGCATTTTTCAAATTGATTTTTACAGAGAATTAGCTCAGTGCAGAGTCCTGCACGGGTCTGATTTTCAAGACCCGCTCCCGCCCGCACCCGCGACGTCCAATACCGAACCCGCCCTGCTACCCGCTCATATTGCCAATTAGTTCCGCAAACCGACCCGAACCCGCATATCCTATGAGCAGTGAAGACATGCAATTATTAACACACGCAGTTGCATATTTGGTTCAAAAAGCGTGTGATGTTAATAATTTCATAATACGACCTGGTTCTTTTCTCTATCTAGGATGACACCAAAAACCTCCCAGTCGTTGGATTTCGCTCTTGAGGAAGAGTTATTGACAAAGCTGTATTCTTCTTAAGAGAGCTTCGCAGAAGTAAAAATCTAACGTAACTGTTGCATGCCTTCATGTCACCACTGCTAAGCTGAAGGTGGCAAATGTTCGACGTGACGTTTAGTAATCTCTTTTAGTCTTAAAGTTTTGCACATTCACAAGTTGGGTATTTACTGACATACTTTATGTTGTACCACATAACGTGAAAATCGGTTAAGATTTGTCAACCACAGACCTTATTTTGGGCATATAGCTACAACCTCAAACAAAAAAGTTAGGAGGCGTGCGAACAGGAATCGGTAGCATGCCAAATCATTTCTAGTTTTTTAGGACTCATTCCTGCACCATTCTGACAGCTTCATGGGAGTTTCCCCCCTTGTTTTCTTTTGTTAGTTGAGTCGATTCCGACTAGTGGAATGAGAAGGGTTGCAGAACACTTATCAGAAACAGGTTTATTGCCAGGTAGGTTCACACATACGAGGAATTTGACTTGATCTCATGGTGCATACATAGAATATAAAACAAAAAATGTTTAAGGACACTGTAATAAAATGTAGTTAAATGGCAATAAAATAAAGCAGTAATTTACAGTGAAATAGAGTGCAGTGAATAATAGAATCTATTATTCACTGCACTCTATTTCACTGTAAATTACTGCTTTATTTTATTGCCATTTAACTACATTTTATTACAGTGTCCTTAAACATTTTTTGTTTTNGACGTACCATAACGCCATCATATTAACTGTTGTTATTGCCTAAATAGTTTCAAGAAAAAAGAGGGAACAAAAGAGTTAATTATTTGTACATAAATATTTCTAAATATAGCATTTTTGGTATTTTGTTATTGCAAGAGCTTTTCAAAATGGTAACTTGTCAAGATAAGCAGATATAGCCGCCCTATAATCGTATGTATAACATAATGAATGTGATACAAAATGTCGAGATCCCATTATTCCATGACATTTGAATGCCCATGTATCACAATCCCTACCATAACTACATGATTAGATTACAAGGTTGTTCAATAGTCTCCACCCTTGATAATCCCTAAAACAGTCTTTCAAGCGGAAGTCTTTCAAGTGGCTCTGTGTGCATTTTGGAGTATTTGGCAAGCCTCTTGCTGGGGTTAAATACCTTCTTCCTCCATTGATCTTTTTTTCATGTTTCACTGGCATTGGTGAGGCCCACAAATTAACTTGATTGAAATGTGGTAGCTGGTACAAGAGGTCAGAAACGGGGTTAACAGCTATCGTGATTAAGCCTCCTTCTCACCCAGCGTGCCACTCCACAAGAATCACACAAGCGTATCCCACCAGGTATGAGGTGACGACTATGCAAAATGCTTAAACATCCAGGCATTTCCACTCTGAGTCAGGCTCTCACTCCCAACTGTATCAGCATGAGAGGAGAGGGGAACTCAAGCATTGACACATACAAGTGTACACAAGCAGTACACACACACACACCTATCTCAGCCTCAAGGTCAGGCAGTATTGGCAAATGGTAAGATAAAAACAGCTCTGGCAGCCATGGAGTAGTCTGAGATAACATCACCTTGAGCACCACATGACACCAAAAAGCGGCTATGTATTTGGCTATGTATTTATTTATATTGGTGCTTTTTCCTTTTAAAGATCCTGTCTTCTTTTCATGATATTGAGACAAATTGCGTCGTGGCCATGAAAGCTACTCTGCTGATTAACTCTTCTCGGATGGCTTTTTATCTGTTGGCATTTGATGTACGACATCTTTGTAAGGGCTACGGTCGAATGCAATCACGGGCCCTTTCATTGCAGGGGCCCCCCTTGGATTGCCTGCTAGTTCTCGAGGGAGGCCATCCCTCAGAAAATATTGACTGTTGGACAGTGAGGGCCTGAGTGTGTATCAGGACAGGCTGCTTTAGAGAGAAATTGCAAATGTCTTTGTGTGTGAGTGTACGTGTGTTGTGCCTGTCTGTCTCCATGTACTAATGGAGAAATAGGAGGACAGAGCCACACAGAGGGCAAAGGTCAGTCGTCTTGTGAAAGGGAGAGAGGAAAATTCCCTTTTCTTCGATGCATTGCTCCCAAATGCACCCGCTTTCCAGTCTGTTTTCCCTCACTGTTGATAGCCTACACTTCCAGATATGTGAGGAGCTCCCAATATTTCAAAGAGTTACAGCTCACCTGCTGCATTCTTATCCTTCAGCAAATGTCTCTTTTACTGACCAAGCAGACCTTTCCAATCCTTTTAACATGCCTCATTCATGGAAACTACATTAACATTGTCATGCGAAAGATGAAACTTAGCCACATTTTAAACAAGGCCTCATTCTTGTTCTCATCCACCATTTTCTGTGAGTTTTTCTTTTTCTAATTTTCTGAGAAGTGTCAGGGTTGCTTGACTGAGGGCTACTTTCACAAATCAAAGCATAGCGTCCCCAGGGTGAATGTTTATGCTCTTGCCTGCTGTTTATGTCTTAAAACAGTAATGCGCAAGATAAAGTGCATTGAGTAGTTTTAATATGCTTGTTACCGAATATAATAAAACGGCACCAGTGGGACTGAAATATTTCCCTCAAAGACATTTCCAACATGGTGAAAGGTTATGCTCTGTCACCCAAAAGTCACCCAGCTTCCAGAAGGATGCCTAGTGGGATGTGGACCTTTTGACTACCTTTTATAGGTCACACTTGTCATGCACAGTCCCATGCTGATACTGAACTGAATATCAAGTGACAGTCATATGAGGAGTGTCAAGGGTTAATCTATCGTTTGGGTTCATGTTAAAAAAGGGTCAGCTTAAGGTTGTGGTAATGCAGAAAAAATAGATCCCCCTGTTTGACTAATGACCCGGTTTATTGGTTTGCAACATTGCAGCAACACAGTACAGGCACGTTTGTACATTCATATGTTGGAGCATGGACGACAAGATGTTTGGCTTCTTATTTAGATCTTGCGTTTTAGGAGCTGCATTTGCAGGTTGTCTTCAGAAAAAAACGAATAGTTAGCTTGGGTCAAAATCCAAGTAACTTGGACTCGTTAAACCGCTGTTCATCTTGTTGATGGACATCTGATCATTGGTCGTTTTAAAAGGCAATTTCCAATAGCATCTTTTTTTGTTTACTTTTTTAGTTTGATAATCGTTGAACTTTCTGTTAAAGGCCTGTTTTGCACATATAAGTATAGTATGTGAGAACATGGTGTTATAATTGTTCAAATATGTTGAATGAAAGACACCAAAGCCCCTGCATCCACAAATGGATTGAACCACCACCTATACACAACAGGAAAATGCTTGTAAAGCCACACTTAATATGTTATTGTATGGTTCAGGGGATATTTAAACATGCACAACTGCTCCTCAATCAGGAGTATGATGCTCTACTTGCTTGTTCAGTGTACATTTATCAGGTCAAGAACATCAGCATATTGCCAAAACAGTGAAACTCAAAGGAGCTGTTAGGATACACATGGGGCTAACGGCTGGGGCATGAAAGTGGCCAAGAGGCAAATACGGTTGAATTGAAGTGGAAAAACAGTTGTATTTGCTTAAATGAAGCCTTAGACAGCTGGTGTAAGTTTATCTTACAAAGACACAGTCACTAGCTAACACACATTAATCCCCACCAGTGCGATTAGCTTTCTGCTTGAATGACAGTAATTATCGCTTTAGTCTTGACGTGGAGACACCGACACTCTTGATGTCTTTGTTGAAACTGAAGTGAGAGCCCTTTATCAATCGCCCACACAAGCCCTACACTGCACAACACACTTGTCGTGCTAGATGTGCCTTTCATTGCATTTTTGTGTTAACTCTACATTAATGAGAGATCATTTATAGGAGTTATCTAATAACATTTATAAAACGGACAAGTCAAATCAAGCAATCTGATTGGTTCTTAGCCGTGATATAATGAGCATATACCACGGCCTGTCGTGAGCTATTGCTTAAATATAGATAGAGATATAGCGTATACCAGTGTTTGAGTCTGGCACTGACTTTCCTAATATTTCTATATACTGAGTATAACTCTTTTACACTGACATTATTCTGTCAGACAAGTATTGCATAACTGTCAAGCCTTTAGGAAGCAGGATTTAACTTCTGAGGTATCCATGTCAAATACTTTTCAACTATGTTTTTTTCATGTCCTGATTTATAGAACAAAACCTTTTCCGACCCAAAAAGATGAGTCAAAAGAAATCCCCACATAGTTGAAAGCACACTTAACCCCACATATCAAACCAGATATCAGGTCCATCCATCTGGTGTCTCTGGAGGAAGGTTAGAGGAAGGCTGGACAGGAGAGCAAGGTCACACCTCCTATTATTGCTTGGGAGCTTGGGCTAAAAACATCTCTTTGCCCTGTGCAGAGTGGGATAGTATGTCATGTAGCGACTCTGCCTCGCTCAAGCGATGGGAGCATGTTCGGGAAAGAATCAAGGTCTTGCCCTTTTTAACCATGTCCCTCTGCTCCTGGGTAGCAGCTCCTGGGGTAGATAATAATGGAGTAATCCTCGTATCTGTTTCTGCTTCCCTCACCCTCACAGATCATTTTTCTTCTGCTCTAGTGTATCATTCCATACTGAGCTGGCACAGTACTGAATGTTTTCCCATTTGACTTTTGTACACAGTTTGGCTCAGTTCAGATTACAATCGTGACATTCTATGAAAATGAGAATTTATGCAACCATTTT